ACCATTGTAAGAATTAATATTATATATAACATACAATAATAATATAATATAATTATATAATAATAAATAAATAAATTATAATTATGAATAAATAAATAAATATATACAGAGAGAGAGAGAGAGAGAACTGGCCTGGCAAATAGCAAATACTCGATAAATATTAGTTATCATCTTTACTGCCTTTATCGGAAGACCAAACTTAGCAGGCCCCCACAGGGGGAGCCCCTTCACCCACCCAGCCTTGATGAGCTGGACTCGGGCAGAATAAACTCAGTATTCAGTTCCAGTCCCTTTATCCAGCTGGAGGGAATAAAGCCGAACACCCCGGGCAGTTAACTTTGCACAGATGACAGACACACCAAAAGGCATCTGATCCCCAGACATGCCTACCAACCCCAGGCAACTTCTAGAAGGAATTCTGCTAGTGACTGTGGTTAGGAAGGTGGGGTGAGGAGTGGGAACGACACAGTTCCGTCCATCCTCACTACCAGATGTACAAATCAGAGCAAAGTTCTGAGCAAGACTCATTATATCATTCTGTTTGGAGGGTAGAGCACAAGGGTCTGGTACCTGCTTTCCAGTGTTTCACGGAGAAAAGACCTGTGGTGGGAGCTCAACATCTTCATCTCCGGAGAGAGCACCTCCGTCCCAGACTGTTATTCCAGGAGCGAGTTGTAAACAGTCTGTTGCTCATGGAGAATAAGGGGCCCATGCCAGGTAAACATGAAGAATGTTGATTTCTTTCCTCCCAGTTCCTTTTTTAACTGCTTGGGAACTTTTTTTTTTTGTCTGAGAGAGCAGGCTTGTAAAATAAATGCTACTGCGTCTTTTCATGACTGTTAAGATGTTATAGGTTAACAACCATGGGAGCTAGTAACATTTGGGGATAAGATGATTCTTTCACTTGTAAAAACGTACTATTGTCACAAATAATGCCACATAAGCCCTTTATCCACCATTGATTCTTCTCTCAATACAACCTTTTAGCTTCTTGAGTATGTAGTGAGTGCCTACCGGGAGAAGGGAGCCCAGCACACTGGGACTGATATCTTGTCCTTTCTTGTCCTGTCATTTTCCAGCTTTCTTTTCTGAATCTTGCCAGGTCCAAGTCACTAGCCTTTCTTCTGTCTGTCCAGAAAAGCTTCACAGAGGGCAAAGAGGGAGATAACTTCCTCCACTCATTCATTCAGCCGGAGGCAGTCATTCAGTAACATTTGCTCTCCGTGTCTGGACGCTGCACCCAGCTGTGAGGACACTATGATGAACAAGATGAAGTCACTGTGTTCAGGGAGCCTCAGTCTTCATCAAACACAACAGAACTAAGTCTGAAGTGATGACAGAAAGAGAGTGACGGAGAGGCGATGGCTGGAAGAACGGAGGTTCATTTTTGAAGTGGGATCAGGATCCTATCTGGGAACTGTGGTTGGGGTGATCACATTGTTAAAAAAATTCCCGTAAGTTATATTGAATTACATTCCAAAAGTGCACTTTGAAATACATTAGGGTATGCGACATGCATCCCTGACGATGTGAGAGATCATCTGACATGGTGCTAGAGATGATTCTAGGTGGTGTGCGGATCTGGCTAAGACAATATTAAACTGACTATTGAGGAAGTATTCCCTTTCGAATTCTATCCTGAGCTCTGTGATTACAGATAGAGTCCATTGAGATGCCGTCCTTCTTAAACACCTCTCTCACACTTGTAAACAATCCCTTACTTTTTTTTTTTTTTAAGCAAAGATAAAGCTCAGAAACTCAACAGGCAGACAATCAGTAGGTTCCAGCTGGAATTTGGTAACCTTTTTTTATTTTTCTTGTATTTATTTTAGTGTATCCTTTTATTTATGGTTAGTGAGTTATATACAGATTCTTTTTCAAATAAATTATTTAGACAAATTGAGTCAACATACAGAAACATGATAAGCAAATAAGAGCCAAGGTGATACAAGGTTATGGCAAATGGTGAAAGCAGTATGGAAATGACTTAAGTTTAGTAAACAAGAGTGCTATGCTCATGTGAGAAAATCTGGGTCTGAGTCCCTGCTGCCCCACAGCTAGCTCTGTGACCTTGGGCAGTTCACCCAACCTCTCAGAACCTTGGTTTTCTCCTCTGTAAAATAGGAACAAGAATCTCTACCTTCTTTGCCAGCTTGTGACACTCTGATGAAGGCATGTGTGAAGTGTGATCCAGCACAGACTTTGGATTACCATCTGGTGAAGTTGCAGAGGCAACACGGCGGGATGCTGAGTGTGTGGGGTGGAGGAGGGAGAGGGGCTAACATGCAGAGTATTTATTACAGGCAAAGTGCTATATATTTTTGAGGATAGAAAGATGAATAAAATTTGGCCTCTGCCCTCAGAGTTTACTTTGTCCACAGCGGAGACAAACACTTAAATGTATATTATCTTGCAGACTGAGATAAATATTATAAATGGGTTTAAAACTCTAGGCAAAGGAAATAGGAAGACGTTGATTACGTGAGTGTATGTGATAAGAACAGCTAACCAAGGTACTTGGTTACATTATCTCATTTGTTCCTCACCATTTGGGAACTGAGATCAGAGAGGCTCAATAATTGGCCATGGTTAATAATGGTGATGCTGTTCATGACCCAGTACTTATGATGTGCCCAGCATTGTTCTGAATGCTTTCTATCCATTGTCTCATTTAAGCTTCCTCACAAGCCTGTGAGATAACTGTAATCTCCTTTTACAGATAAGCAAACTAAAGCTCACACAGATCAGGAGGCTTGCAGAGGTAGTGAATGGCGCTGGCACTGTCGCAATTTGATCCCAGGGGTGTTTGACTCCAAAACCCATTTCTTCCACTTCCTCTGCTTCCGATCAGCAGCTGAGCTGCGGGACCCTGAGGTGGCCGTGCTCGGGGAAGGTCTGTTGAGGGCTCTTTTGTGCAATGCCGCGTTCCAGTCCTGGCTGGGTTTCTCTAACGAGTTTATCTATGTCACAACTCCTTTCTTTGTTTCATAATCAAAGCTCCTAAACTCCTAAAGTGTGAAGTCCTAGGACCATGTGAGTAGCTAGCCCTGCTCACGATACTATAAGCTGATGTTGGTAAAGACATTTCCAAAGTACTCAAAAGAACCGGGCGATAGGGCAGGTGGGGTACAGTTCATCTACTCTGTGAGGTAGGACCTGTATTTCCTGTGGGAACTTACAGAATCCATTCCTGATAGCTACAAAGGGACCTCAGGATGTACTAAAGCCACCTCTTCATTTTAAAAAGAGAAGAGGTTGAGGGCCAAGGTCCTACAGCAGGTAGAGGAATCCAGACCGCACATCGCCCATGTCTCAGTGCTTATTTCACCAGAGCACTGGTTTTCAGTGTGGTCTCCGGGCAAGCAGCCTCAGAGTCACCTGGGAACTTGTGAGAAATGGCCACCTCAGACCCACAGATTCAGAAACTGTGGGGTGGGGCTCAGCAGTCTGTTTTAACAAGCTCTCTGAGCGATTCGGAAGCATGCTCAGGTTTGAGACCAACAGCAAAATATTTGCTAGATATACTATAGTTATATAGCATATATTATACAGCATATACGGCAGCAAGAAGATGGGAGATTTAAGTAGCACCCCGTCCCCCCAACATTAGAGGCTCTTCTCCCTCCTTGTTCGCAGGTGAAGGGCTGAAGGGACTCAGTGCAACAAACTCCTGAGGTCTACAGCACACTCTGAGATATGTTAGACAGGGGAGGAGCCCATGGCACAGACGCTGGCCGGGCATTGGTGGCCTGGGTGTGCTGCCAGGTAGGCAGAGACTAGGCACTGTCTGGTTGTCTGTGTGAGGAGGAGGCAGTGGGGGAGAGGGGCTGCGCCGCCAGGCTTCCCCTCAAGCCACCGCCCCGACACAGACAAGCAGCCAGGAATTTAGAAGAGGCTCTTCTCCACACTGTCCCCACTATCTGTGTCCCTCTGCATCTGTGAGCCATGGGTGGTGACTTTCAGAACTGGGCAATGGATTTCCCCAGAGGCAGGAGGCCTGTGGAAGGAGGGCAGAGGAGGGGAGCTGGTGAAACGCAACGGTGTTTGGAAGGCACCTATCTATGTGCCCCTGCTGAAGATTTTCACGTTATCCTGAACCGGGACAATATGTGAGCCGGGGAGATAATAGGAATGGACTTGCACTTCAGCAGTATCTCTGGCAGCTGCATCGAGGATGGACTGGCTGAATCCGGAGACTCATGGGTGGTTATCGCACTAGTCTGGGTGGGAAATAAGGGCTGTGTGCAGGCGGGAACAGATTTAGGAGGACACGGATTGGAATGTGCAGGGAAGGGGAGGGAGCAGACAGCCCTATTTGGGCTTGGTGAATTGTAGGTGCAGTGCCAACACGCTGGGCCCTGCCGTCCTGGAACCACTCGGCTATAAGGTCCTGAGTGCAGGTGAATGATCGTCCCCTCCTTTCTTCTTCCCCAGGAGGGGTCTTTGGAGTCAGGCAGATGAGGGTTCAGAGGCCCCGCTGGAATGTAACCCCCATGAGCGCAGGCTTCCATCTCTTTGGTTCACAGCTGTATGCCAAGCGCCAGCAACAGTGCCTGGCACACAGTAGGTGCCCAAGAAACACCTGCTGAACGAATGAGTAATGGATGAGTGGCCCTACTCCAGCCCCCGTTCCTCATCTGTGAACACCCTACCCGGAAGGGCTGCTGCATAAAGAAAGCTCCTGGCCCCGGACTCGACGCACAGTAGGCGCGCAACAAGTTGTATTTTCCCTTTCCCTTCGCAGTAGGCGAAGAAGAGCCCCTAGGCGACCGCAGAACAGGGGCTTCTGTCCCTCGCGCCTTCTGCACCTCCCTTCGCCCCCGCGGCCGCGGCTGGGTCTGCGG